TCTGTTGGTCTGGGACCAGTCACGGAGTCCAGTGCTCATAATATTATGGCTGATTGGTGTAAATGACAGTGTGTGTTCATGGTAATGAAGGAACATGTCACCCAGCACAACAGTGTGGCTCATTGATGTGTTTTTAATATGGATGTCACCAGTAGTGTAGTAGTGCCTGGAGAAGTGGTATACTCTTTATTTATGCCCCCAATTCTTTTTCAGCAAAGTATAAACTCCCTGCTCTGCAGGTAGTATTTGCACATTGTCACTTAACTGCATCTTGACTTCAGGCAGTACAGATCATTATCTAATTAACATTAGCCACAGAAGAGGAGCAGATTTTGCATCAATATTGGCCCACAGATGGGTGAGATGACTACATAAAATTATGCATTTTGTGTGAAGTATCCTTACACCTTACTACATCCACTCATATCTTTGCCATCCTAGAAAAAAACCCACTGCAGAGTGATGCAGAGGGGATATAGAAGTGTATAGTGTATACACTGTATACCTGTGTATACACTGCACTACACCACTGGATGTGGTGATACTAGAAATGAAGTCGATACCGATGCCACAATTCTAGATAGTAAAAAATGCTTCAGTATACACTGTTCTAAATATAGCTATATATGAACTAATATATGTTTTTTAAGGTGGCAGTGTTTTTCTGCAAACCTTGTATTCTGCAGTGCTGGCCTCCGTCTGCTGTCGATAATACAATGTCTATGGATAAGAACCTCATACAACCCCACTTCAAAATGTTTCAAATGTCAGTGAGTCGTCCTCAGAGCAGGTCTCTCTGTTGATCAGTGAACTGTTCCTGGAGACAGACATTTAGTCGGTTGTCAACGTTCTGTCGACTGTCCCTCACATGTTTGGGATGTGTACTTTTGTGGTCAACAAAGCTTTTTTTTGGGACACAAGAATCACTTTCTGGAGGGAACACATGTTCTCTCTCTGTATCTGCGGTTGTGGTTAAGATTTGTTGTTGGGCTCGTTACTTTTAAGTTCAAATAAACCTCACCGCACTGAAATGTCTACAAATGTTTCTTCTCTCTCCTATCGGCCGGTTGGTAACATCCAGCGACTGATATAATGGATGAACCAGCAGAGTTCTGGACCTTGATCTTGACAAAATATGTGATTTCTTCAGTTGAGTCTGGTTCAGCTTGTGTGAAGCCATCTGAGACTGAGTCTGAGGTTGCTCAATGCTTTATTTGATTGATTTGATGCATATTAAACATCAAGCAGTTGCTGCCTGTCAATAGTAGGAGACGTTGCACTTTTTAAGTGTCTCAGGCTGGTTAAATCTGCCCGAA